TATATATATATGTGTATATAATTGTTAGTTTCTGTTCTGCAGGTAATTTACACATCAAGTAATACTCATTTCTTTTGTTTGCGCGAACAGAATTACAAAATTTCTGCTGTTGAACGTATGGAAAAAAAGATTAATGCCCATTTTCTAAAGTTAATGTAAATTAATTTTCCATCATGACTAATTTATACTTTCCATTTGTTTCTAGGTTTAAGAATTAAAAAAGATAAAGAATAAATTAAAGATTAAAGTAAATCTACATTGTTAGAAATAGATATAAATCGACGAATTATATAATTATATAATTAAATTTCTATCGATGTAGATTAATTTCGGTTTAATTTACTCTTTTATCATTTTCTAATTTTTAAGAACTATAAAAGATTTTTATTCTTTTTTTAATTCTTAGAACTAAAAAAGTAAGTTTAATCGAAATTGAAGTTAATCTACATTGGTGGCAATGAACATAAATTAAGTTATTCGAATTAAAGTTTCTTTTGAGGAACTGATTATTGTTCATTTCTATCAATGTAGATTAATTTTAATTTCGGTTTAACTTGCTCTTCAATTTTTTTAAAATTCTTTAGATGAAAATTAAATAACATTGGTAAAAACGGGTATCATTTTTAGAACTAAAAAAAGATAAAAAAAGTTAAGTTAAATCTACACTAATAAAAAAGAGCATATAAGACCAATGTGATGCGAATCAGAGGGAGGGGAGAAGACACGCGATCCAAGCCAGCGAGTCTTAACCTGTCAGAAAAATGCCAGAAAACTTATTGGGAAATTTGCGAGAATCAGCGTGTCAAGATTCACCCTCCCTCTTTCTCGCCGGACAAAGTGTAAGTGTAATAACCGGAAGACAGGGCACAGATGGTCGTGCCCTTGCGATCGCTCACAGGACAGTTGGCGGTAAAGTGACAATAGCACGACGTTCCACGCGATACAACAAACCGCGCGCTTCGAGAAGATCCACGGATGAGGGAATAGAAACGCTCGCGAAGGTTCGTCGGAGACGAGAACAGGCGCATAACGAGTTTATTGCTCATCAGACGAAATGTCGACATGTATCGACAAGCTGACGAGCGAGTAAGACAAGTGGACGGACGACAGTGCACTACGAAGAGATAGCGATTGTGGAATCACAATTCACACGGTGAGATACGGCGAGACTGCCGGAAACGAACGCTGTGCTGCGCGGCAGAGATCAGTATTGTCTTGATTGGAAGTAGTTAGGAATCGGTAGTTTCTCTTATTTGCTTCTGATTCAACAAAATTCCTTTCGTCCATCGATCGTCACGATCGCCATTTCATGTCGCGCTGCAACAGTACGTTTAATCTTAGATTACAACAACGGATTATTTAGCCCTTTAGTGAAAAATTTTAGACGGTTATATAATCTTTATGATTGATACTAGATGCTTTCTAAAACTTTTAAGATGAATTTTATTGAAGAATGAAATCTCTTAAAGATTGAAAATTCTTAAAGATTGAAAATTGAACTACTCTTTTTTAAGATTGGCTCAATTTTCACTCTTTAGAGTCAGAGTCTACTAAAAAAATGTATAGAGTATGAAATTCTAAATTATAAGGAAAAAATTTTAAACCTTCTTTTATCAATTGTTATAAAACGAAGGTTTATTTGTATTTTATACTTCAACTGTAAAACTTAGGAGTTTTCATAAGATATAAGTAAAGATTTACAAGGGTAATCGTTATTGAATTACATTTTAAATTCTTTAGATCCAGTTCCACAACTCACGGTTAATCAAGCAGTTAACTCTTAATTTTAGAATTGGAAAGAGATGAGAAACAAGTTGAACCTTGGTTAAGAATTAACTCGGTTAAGAATTAAGTGTGGAATTAAACTTTAGCGTGGAAATTCACTAAAAAGAATGAAAATTAAGCTATAGGTCCAGTTTCACAACTCATGGTTAATTTAATCATGATTCAACTTAGTCTTCATCTTTTTCTGATGCTAGAATTGGAAAAAGATGAGAAATAAATTAAACCTCGGTTAAGAGTTAATGAGTTGTAAAACTGGATCCTCTAGTCTTGAAAAAAAGTAATTCAGTTTTCTTTAAAGTGAGATTTCACTTAGAATAAAATTTACTCTAAAAGTTTTTTATAGTATGTATCCTTGATTAATACCCAAGACGTTTGTTCCAGACGTATAAGACGTAACGTTAAATTTGTTATCCTTGCACAATGGAGGATTTAGAGGATTTGATGGCAAACGAAGTAGTGCTAGATAGATGCGGCAACTGGGTGGAATCCCAAAAGAATTGTTTCTATACCAAAGAGGATTCCCTCAAACAAAAGCTAGATGAATTGGAGTGCGATGATTGGTACAACACGGACTCGGAATTCGATTCTGTCTCAGAATGTGGCGGGAAAAAACGTAAAGTGGGAACGCAACTGAAGGACGAAGTGCTGGATCTGATCTGCGAGTGGAAGGAATGCACGTTTCGCAGCAATCATTTGGACAAATTTTTGAGGCATGTCTCGAGTCACATACCTAACATACAAATAAGCATAAAAAACGATAACGAGGTATATGTGTGTCAATGGAAAGATTGTCCATATAACACCGATGTAGACGACGAAGTAATACGGCATGTCAATTATCATGCCTATCACACTAAGTTGAAGTGTATTGGATCCAATGTTCGCGCAAAAATCAAACTACCCGTAAGTAACGATGGATATTTTCCAGCAAAAGACATAGATGACACAGCAAATCATTACCTTCTTGTTTGTCAATCTTAAACATTCACTACAAATTGGTGAAAAGAGTAGTATTCAGTCAAGGCAAGTTTTGGTGCCTAACTATATTGTATAAATTTTTACAATTCAGGCAAATGTGGAAATGATTACTGTCTATTGCTGGAAAACCTTCACATCAGTGGAATAAAGATTAAAAATTAAGGATTTTTTTGCAGAAATGTCATAGAGATGCAGAATGGAAGAACATTTTAGATTCTCCACCTCCACATTTGTGCAGATGGGAAGAGTGCTTGAAACTGTTCACAAATTATCAAATGTACTTGTATCATGTTACTGTACACATGACTGATTGCCCGCGTGGCAACAGAATCAAAGACGGAGTCGATTGCAAATGGACCGGGTGCAATGGCAAATATACTAGCTTATACAAATTACGAGATCATGTAAGATGTCATACCAAAGAGAAAATAATTGCTTGCCCAGACTGCGGTGTCACGTTCGCCTCAAAGACGAAATTTCACATACATTGCCAGCGACAAATTCCCTTGGAAGGTAATAAATTCATCGTACGTTCTGATGAATGATCTCTTTCATTTTCTTCCAATACATTATGAATTTACAGTGCAAGGATTCCGTTGTTCACACTGCAACAAGTTTTATCCGACCGAAGGAATTTTGCGTGATCACATGAGATCTCATGTGTTCAATTATAAATGTACTCTATGTGACATGAGCTGTGAATCGCCGTCGGGCTTGGCAAAACACGTCAGATACCGTCACATGTCAACCAGAACATTTCCATGTCAATTGTGTTCGCATGCTGCCAAGTCGCAACAGGATCTTGATTCTCATATGACTGTCCATACTAATGGACCGAATTTTTCTTGCTACTTCGAGGGATGTCTTTACACGTGCAAAGGAGCTTACACCTTGGATAGGTAATCATAAAGCTCTTCATTAATGATTTATTCTTTATTTGATGATTGAATATATTACAGGCACTTAGAACGAGTACATAGTTTAGCGGTGCGATGGTACTGTTGTCACGAATGCCCGATTAAATATCGAAAGAGTTATAGATTGACAAAGCATCTTATAGAAGCCCATCGATTGCAATTGCCCAGCGGACACAAACGCTTCCATTATACGCAGGAAGAAGACGGATGTTATAGGCTACAGATGGTTCGATACGAAGCTGTGGATGAAGAAAACATGTTGCCCGTCGAAGAGGCGGATTTACCAGATAAAAAATATAAAATAGAGCTCAATCAAACTACCTCGCTGACAACAGTAAAAGTGAATTTCATTAACTTAACATTATTTAATAGTTTTCTTCCATTCATATAATGATTTGTTCCAGATTGTTGAAGATAATTCAGAAGAAGAAATGAAAGAAGCTGCACAAGATTCTCAAGAGGAAACGGCAGAGAATGGCGTTGACAAGTTTGTACCTGTTATATCTAATATTTTAATATCTATCGATGATGTAGACGAAAAAGGGAATATCATAAAACAGGAGATCGTCGAGATACAAGAAACAAAAGAACTACCGCCATCGGAAAAACCATTGCTAATTTTAACATAAGTTTGATATCTTTAGAAAAATATTCTTTGTATTTTTATATTATTACATTATGTATTCTTTCTATGATTTTGTATTATAGGCGTTATGTACTTTACATTTAGTTTTGATACAAATGTGCAACGTAAATTTATTTACCTCGCATCTTCACTTTGAAAAACTTTATTTTTATTTATCACTTTATATTTTTTAAAATGTTTATGATTATAAAGCAAGAACAATATAAAGTATATCAATTTACAAAGCA